CAACCTAGGGATTACTTGAGTCGTATTTACCGCCCCTAATGATTAAAATTGGAAATTTGAAATTGATGAGATTGCAAAATGTTATTGAAATTATGGTGGTTTTCAAGAAGAGCATGAAATGAGATTTATCTTTGAAATGGCACTGCATGGCATTTGCATTTGCATTTGCATTAAATGTTGGAAAATTTGCATAATTGTATATACTTTGTAAGGATTTCTCTACTGGGCGTTATGCTCACCCCTATAGGATTTGGCGCAGGTAAAGATTTTTGATGTATTACATGTAAATTCAAGCCAAGGGCTTAAGGTGTATGAGTTAGTACTCTTTTGTTGTAACCAAGTGTTAACTTGGAAAGCTGTAAGCCCGTAGGGCATTTTGCTTTTGTTGTTAACATGTAATACTTATGTAATGAAACTCTCATGAATGATAGAATGTGGAACTTTTGTATATCAATGCATGTTTTATTTAATGGGTTTAACGTTATTATTTTGAGGGCGTTACAGACTAGATGCTTCACATGATATAGATTCATGTGTTTTTCATACCTTTGAATGTATATTCGCATGTGAAACTTTTGTAATAACTCTATTGATTAATGATGTAAGGGTTGGAGATTTGCCATTATTATTTAGGGGATGTGGGTTGATGTATTATATATGTTAGATTATTTCGGGGTGTTACATTCATAATGCAGAATTCGGGGCGTTACATTCATAATGCAGAAAAAATAATTTGTCAACCAAAGCTTATTTTCAATGATAAATGAGATCTTTGTCAATAATTTTTCCTTGCAATATATATATATATATATATATCTATTTTAATATATAAAGTGAAGGCGATTGGTGGTGTTGATGATTTTTGTCTTACAATTTTCTTTCTCAAAATACTCCTACATTTAGAGTTCTTGTAAAAGCCCCAAACCCATGATCTTGGATTTAATAGTGAAAGTTCGTACAATTTGTATCTTGTACGATTATTTCATTAATAAAAATTTCTTTTATTGATTAAAAAAAATGATGTTATTTTTTTCCAGGTTACACACATTGTGTGTGCGAACTACTAATATATATATATATATATATTTGCAATACATCTCAAAGAGTAAAAAAAAGACGAGAGATATCGTGATGTTAAGCATCTTGCGAAACTTTCTTCTGATGCAGCAAGTGTAGCAACAACATGATAATATCAACGACTATACCATCAGTTCATTACAAGCATCTGTGGAAGCTACAATGATAAAATACAATACATAAAATTCCCCTTGAGCAGTAATGTAATACTATATTCTAAGGTATAGAACAACAAGTAAACTTAAGTAAAAAAGAATTTTTAAAATCCTATAAAACATAATTTAATAGCGGTGCGGGTCGGTGCGGTTTGGAAGAAAAATAGAAACCGGCGGATTGATAAAAGTATCACTAGAATTTGCCATTTTTCTTACCAAAAACCGGCGGTTCGATTGACAAATAATAACGAATTTGCCTTGGCGGTGCGGTTCAGTGCGGTTTTGGCGGTTTCGGCGGTTTCGACGGTATTATGCACACCCCTAGTTCTTGTAAAAGCCCCAAACCCATGATCTTGGATTTAGTAGTGAAAGTTCGTACAATTTGTATCTTGTACGATTATTTCATTAGTAAAGATTTCTTTTATTGATTAAAAAAAAATGATGTTATTTTTTTCCAGGTTACACACATTGTGTGTGCGAACTACTAATATATATATATATATATATATATATTTGCATTACATCATCCTATATGATTTAATATATAAGTAACATACATAAATATTTGACAACTGGAATATTTCCCCCAAAAATGATTTTTTTAGTCTCTTTTTCTTGGCTTTTTGTTGATGTATATTTACGATTTTCATGTTTTGCCCTTTGGTCAAATAAAGAAAGACAGAATTAGGTTAGCCCACTAAATTAAAACACTTTTTATACTTTGGGCATTAAATGGATATAATTTAAATATTAGGGCACACAATGACACAAATTTCTTACTTTAGGGACTAAAAGGGCCAATTTTAATTAAATTTCTATATTTACCCTTAACTTTAATGGGATCTAGTCTACAAATGGAATTCAGTTGGCGGACCAAACCAAAATAATTTTTATATGTTGGGAACTAAATACATTCAATTTAAATAGATAACCAAAATGACTTTAGGATTTTCTTGATTGTAGGGTTGAGCAAAGAAATCAAAAAAACTCACAAACAAAACCAATCCAGACTAATTCGGTAGGTTTGATTTGATTTTTTTAATTTGCGGTTCAGTCCTGATTTGGAAAATGGAGGAATCGATCTCCGCGGATTGATTCCAGATTTAGGTTCATGATTCTATATTTGAACCGAACCGAACTGCATAATATGTTTATTTTTGCTAGATATTATGTTTGTTTAAGTTAATGATGGAATAATATACATGCTATGTTTTGAAAGTTTATGTTCTGAAAAATCATGACAGATTAATATTGAACAATGTTTGCTTAATGTTATGTTTTTGTTTCTTGGTAAATATTATGAGAGTATGGAAATGGGGCCACTGCTGTTGTGCCTTAATTTAAGGTGTATTATGGGTTTATTTTTATGATCCAAACCATTATTTTTATGATCCAAATCATTATGAGAGTATGGAAATGGGGTCACTGCTGTTGAGTATTTCATTTCTACAAAATATTATATTAATCGGATATCAATAACTATATGATCGATTTGCATATTTTTTATGCTATTTCTCAAAAGAAAAACTTATTGTTTATATTTTTGGTTATCGATCATATAGTTATTGATATCTGATTAATATGATTTTTGGTAGGCATGAAGTACTCAACAAACCCTACAAAACGAACGGTTCGGATCATAAAAATAAACTCATAATTCACCTTAAATTGAGGTACAACAGTCAATGTTGTGCTTTTAGCATAACAGTGACCCTATCTCCTTGTTTAATGGGCATGCTATTATTATTTTTAAAAATTAAGACAAGTTGAATTTTTTTGAAAATGTTATATGATTTTTCTTGTGAACAGATTATGTGGAACCGTGGTTCCAAATTGAATCAAATCATGTTTAAATGGTCTGGTTCAGATTGGTTCCATGATTTTAATGGTTTGGTTTGATTCCAATTTTTATGGAACTGTAAACAATGAATTAGTCCTGATTTCATCCCAAACCGATCTAAACTGGACCATGTTCACCCCTTCTTGATTAGGCAGATCATAGCATAAGATTGAGATTATTAATCCGTTGAACTCACATTCCATTATTTGGTGACAAAATTTTATTATTTGGATTATATTTCAATGGCCATTATATGTAACAAAATTGATGAATTTTTTAAGCCTACGACTAATAACGCGAAACATAAATATAATTGATATTATATATATTTCCATATTAATTACAAAATAAACGTAAACAAGAGAGAATTATGTATCTCACTAATCCAACTGAATGACCAATACTAATCTCATAAATTATTAATTCTCTCACTATTAATCTTATTAATTAAACACACCCTTAGAGACTAAAAAGTAACTAACCATTATTTATAAATTTGGCAAACTATATTATGTAATAGTAACCATCTCAACCTGATTTTTGTCTAGTTTGACTATCATAAAACTGAATATATAATTAATAATTAATTAATAATATTATATGACATTATTTATGTGATAATTTAAGGGATTATCTGCCACTCCTAACACGTAGACCATAAAGGCTTTGTTTAATTAGAAGAATTAATAGTGAAGAGATTAACAATTTGTGGGATTAAAAAGCGTCAAAGAAAACTAATTAATCCCCTTTATTGATGTATGTCACTTGCCTTGTAATCTGATTATCATCAATAAAGCTTTCTTTTGCTGATAAAAAAATTCATGGGATTAGTGAATGATTAATTATTCAACTAGATTAGTGGATTGTATGTAGCATTCCTAACTAATGATGTAATAAAATTTTTTACAGATGAGACAAATTTTTTTTTTTTTAACTCATCAAAGAAAATTTAAACCTAATCATGTCCAGACCCAGACTAAAGAAAAGGGTTAGGGAGGACCCAACCAGGAGGGGGATACAATCAAGATAAAATAAAGGAAAATGAAAACCATTTAACAAGTTGTCTAGCACATGCCTGATCTTAGTGGCTTTAATTCCTTCCAAAGAAAAGATGAAATATTGATTGATTGAGTAGTCAGGAATGTTAGCTGAAATCTTCACCCAAGAAACAGTTCGAACTTTTAGAAGCTCATATAGGACGATGTTGACTTATATTTATTAAGGGGTTGTTTGGGATGTTCTAAATAAGTATACTTTTTGATTTTTTTATGAAATATAGATTGAGTTTGAAATGATGTGGAAGAGAGGTGATGTGACTTAAATAAGATAGTGACTTTTTCACTTTTTAATTTTTTTATAGGATGCCAAACCTAGCCGAAGTAATTGGAAAATAAGGAATAGTTTACCCAACATATTCTGTGATTTTACATTGTTAGGAATATTGCGTAAAAACTATCATGTGTTCTGATACTATTTAATAATTTTCTAAGCGCTTAGTTCAAAAGTTTACTTTCTTTATCTAAAGATTCAGGGGTTAAAATATTAGGCGTATAAAGACAATGTTCTGTCAAATGACTAAGTTACCCTCGTATACATATATTATATTCATAGCAAATTTTACAAGTTGAACATGTTGACTAACTTTTCTTAAGTAATTGAAAGATAAAGAATGATTTGTTTTGCATGTGTTGTGAGTTTTTATTTGTTGAAAATACCACATAAACAATGGATTTAAGAAATTTTCTTAACATTGATCTTAACAAACAATGATAAAGAACATGTATAAACAACATAGGGAATCTTCTAAGGAATTGTCTACCAGTCTCAGTAAATGTAGAACACATGGATATTGTGTACTTGATCCTGTGATTACCGATTCAATTTTGAAGTTTGAAAGATCGCCTTCGGTTGTGAATATGTGGACTTACCTCCTATATCAATTGATCCAGTCAAATGGTTTGTAGATAGGGATAAAGTCTTGAGTGATGAGAGTACACCAAGAAATGATAAGATGTTATTATTGAATGAATTCCATTCCAATCTAAGTAGCTCCAGCTTGCCTAACACAGATAGTCGTTCAAAACTTGTAAAAATCAATTTTCTTTTCAAGTCACCACCGTCCATACTGTAAAGCCCCAAAATAAATCAACATAAACTAACCACATCAACTAATATTTACTAAATAATGACAAAGATCCATCGATCTTTACACATTTAATGAAACAAGCTTATACAAAAGTTTCACATGCAAATATATATTCGATGATAAGAAAACACCTGAATCTATAGCATGTGAAGCATCTAGTCTCAAATAATTAAAATGCCCTTAAGGGCTTACATCTTCCAAGGCATAAGCCCAGTTACACAAAATGGTCTCTCGGACCCATACACTTTTATCCCTTGGCTAGCAAAATGAATACAACAAATAGAGTCGTCCGCTTTTCACAAAAATACATATGTCCACGCCCTCAACTCGGCGGGACCACTACATCTTTACCTGCACCAAATCCCATAGGGGTAAGCATAAAGCCCAGTAGAGAATTTCTTACAAAGTATATACAGTTATGCAACTGTTAATGTAAAATGCAAATGTCCATGCCATGCAATGCCATTATAAAGAAAGTTTCATATCATGTTCTTCTTGATGGTCATCATGTTTCAAAAAAAGTTTGCAATCTCAACAATTTCCTAAAGAAAGCTTCCAATTTTAAATCAATAGGGGCGGTAAATACTACTCAGGTAATCCCTAGGTTGGTGTCTGCAGGTAGGCTCTACGAGCACTACCAATACCCCACTTTACCGGTTGCTAACCGGAAGGGAAGTGGTACCTCCTGCCCGTGTGTTTTCAGTCTTTCACCGTAGACACTCAGGCCAACTTGTCAATCTCATCTACATCCCTTATCCAGACTTATCAACGTATTTACCCCATAACACATTTCCATAGTTCTTATTACAAATACATTTTTCTTTCATGAAGTAAATATCTTCAATCTAAATTCACAATGCATAATAATAAATTGAATGAGTATGCAATGCAATGATTTTCCATACCTCATAGCATTTCTCCATTTTCAAATATCTTTACACTAATGTCAACAATCACATTTCCCATTTCCTCTCTTCATTGTTCTTTCACAAGATAACCATGTGCCATCAACATATAGCTACAATTTCTCATTTCACAAGTCTTAGCAATTTAGTCTCTTCAAGACTACATGTGATGTTTTCAAACACTAATCTCCAATGTTTACAATTCTCACAATCCATGGTGCACAAAAACTTGCCACATCACAACAATTATAGCGATCCCGGTTGTCCCTTTACTGTTCTGTTGTATTTCGGACTCGGTTCCGTAAAGTTGGTAGTGGTATCTATCTTGTTGTCGTCCTTTAATTCCACTTGATTGAGTTTTAGGATGTTTTGAGCAGGGTTGTTACAGGTTGGTTAGGCCTTGGTTTCAATTCCTTGTTGTTCAGTTTTTAGGCGATCCGCTCGAGCGGGTCTTCTTGCGCTCGAGCGGGGATTGCATACCTCTAGTATTTCGTGTTCCTGCAAAACTTCTGCAGATCTGATTTTTACGCTCGAGCGGGTTTGTTTACGCTCGAGTGGTAGCGCTAGAGCGGGTCGGTTGGCGCTCGAGCGGGTAGTACTTTCTGGGTATAAGTTCTGGGAGGGGGAAATCTACGCTCGAGCGGACTGGTTTTCGCGCTCGAGCGAAAGTGCTTTATTCTTGTGTCTTGGCGCTCGAGCGGGCCTTATTGCGCTCGAGCGTGTCCAGATTTTGTTCTTGGCGCTCGAGCGTTGTGTTCTCCGCTCGAGCGGGTCATGCGTATATGAGTTATCCGCTGGGTCATTTTAAATCACTTTTTCACCTTTCTTCTCTCTCTTACTTTTCCAAAAACACCATTGTTGAGCTTCTCACTCTAGAACTCTACCTTCTCTCTAGGTATTGATCTAGTAGGAGTGATTTCCTCACCTTTGGCCTTTACAAAAAAGTTGTTGATCGTCGAAGGCTATCTTGTGATCTGAGAAACTCGTGATTTGGAGCAAGTTCGTTTTCATCATCTTCTTCGTTGGTTGTCATCTTTTGAGGTAGGGATTCCTACTCACTCCTATGGTCTTTGACCTAGATTTTTAGTTGTTTTGATAGAGCGTTGAACTTGGGGAATTTTGGGACTTAGGGTTTCAAAATGTGTAAAATGGGTTTTATGATTTTGGGCTCATAATATTAAGTTAATGATGGAATAATATACATGCTATGTTTTGAAAGTTTATGTTCTGAAAAATCATGACAGATTAATATTGAACAATGTTGGCTTAATGTTATGTTTTTGTTTCTTGGTAAATATTATGAGAGTATGGAAATGGGGTCACTGCTGTTGAGTATTTCATTTCTACAAAATATTATATTAATCGGATATCAATAACTATATGATCGATTTGCATATTTTTTATGCTATTTCTCAAAAGAAAAACTTATTGTTTATATTTTTGGTTATCGATCATATAGTTATTGATATCTGATTAATATGATTTTTGGTAGGCATGAAGTACTCAACAAACCCTACAAAACGAACGGTTCGGATCATAAAAATAAACTCATAATTCACCTTAAATTGAGGTACAACAGTCAATGTTGTGTTTTTAGCATACCAGTGACCCCATCTCCTTGTTTAATGGGCAAGCTATTATTATTTTTAAAAATTAAGACAAGTTGAATTTTTTTGAAAATGTTATATGATTTTTCTTGTGAACAGATTATGTGGAACCGTGGTTCCAAATTGAATCAAATCATGTTTAAATGGTCTGGTTCAGATTGGTTCCATGGTTTTAATGGTTTGGTTTGATTCCAATTTTTATGGAACTATAAACAATGAATTAGTCCTGATTTCATCCCAAACCGATCTAAACTGGACCATGTTCACCCCTTCTTGATTAGGCAGATCATAGCATAAGATTGAGATTATTAATCCGTTGAACTCACATTCCATTATTTGGTGACAAAATTTTATTATTTGGATTATATTTCAATGGCCATTATATGTAACAAAATTGATGAATTTTTTAAGCCTACGACTAATAACGCGAAACATAAATATAATTGATATTATATATATTTCCATATTAATTACAAAATAAACGTAAACAAGAGAGAATTATGTATCTCACTAATCCAACTGAATGACCAATACTAATCTCATAAATTATTAATTCTCTCACTATTAATCTTATTAATTAAACACACCCTTAGAGACTAAAAAGTAACTAACCATTATTTATAAATTTGGCAAGCTATATTATGTAATAGTAACCATCTCAACTTGATTTTTGTCGAGTTTGACTATCATAAAACTGAATATATAATTAATAATTAATAAATAATAGTATATGACATTATTTATGTGATAATTTAAGGGATTATCTGCCACTCCCAACACACGTAGACCATAAAGGCTTTGTTTAATTAGAAGAATTAATAGTGAAGAGATTAACAATTTGTGGGATTAAAAAGCGTCAGAGCAAACTAATTAATCCCCTTTATTGATGTATGTCACTTGCCTTGTAATCTGATTATCATCAATAAAGCTTTCTTTTGTTGATAAAAAAATTCATGGGATCAGTGAATGATTAATTGTTCAACTAGATTAGTGGACTGTATGTAGCATTCCTAACTAATGATGTAATAAAATTTTTTACAGATGAGACAATTTTTTTTTTTTTTACTCATCAAAGAAAATTTAAACCTAATCATGTCCAGACCCAGACTAAAGAAAAGGGTTAGGGACGACCCAACCAGGAGGGGGATACAATCAAGATAAAATAAAGGAAAATGAAAACCATTTAACAAGTTGTCTAGCATATGCCTGATCTTAGTGGCTTTAATTTCTTCCAAAGAAAAGATGAAATATTGATTGATTGAGTAGTTAGAAATGTTAGCTGAAATCTTCACCCAAGAAGTAGTTCAAACTTTTAGAAGCTCATATAGGACGATGTTGACTTATATTTATTAAGGGGTTGTTTGGGATGTTCTAAATAAGTATATTTTTTGATTTTTTTATGAAATATGGATTGAGTTTGAAATGATGTGGAAGAGAGGTGATGTGACTTAAATAGGATAGTGACTTTTTGACTTTTTAATTTTTTTATAGGATGCCAAACCTAGCCGAAGTAATTGGAAAATAAGGAATAGTTTACCCAACATATTTTGTGATTTTACATTGTTAGGAATATTGCGTAAAAACTATCATGTGCTCTGATACTATTTAATAATTTTCAAAGCGCTTAGCTCAAAAGTTTACTTTCTTTATCTAAAGATTCAGGGGTTAAAATATTAGGCGTATAAAGACAATGTTCTGTCAAATGACTAAGTTACCGTCGTATACATATATTATATTTGTAGCAAATTTTACAAGTTGAACATGTTGACTAACTTTTCTTAAGTAATTGAAAGATAAAGAATGATTTGTTTTGCGTGTATTGTGAGTTTTTATTTGTTGAAAATACCACATAAACAATGGATTTAAGAAATTTTCTTAACATTGATCTTAACAAACAACGATAAAGAACATATATAAACAACATAGGGAATCTTCTAAGGAATTGTCTACCAGTCTCAGTAAATGTAGAACACATGGATATTGCGTACTTGATCATGTGGTTACCGATTCAATTTTGAAGTTTCAAAGATTGCCTTTGGTTGTGAATATGTGAAGAGTTTTATATTGGACTTACCTCCTATATCAATTGATCCAGTCAAATGGTTTGTAGATAGGGATAAAGTATTGAGTGATGAGAATACACCAAGAAATGATAAGATGTTATTATTGAATGAATTCCAATCCAATCTAGGTAGCTCCAGCTTGCGTAACACAGATAGTCGTTCAAAACTTGTAAAAATCAATTTTCTTTTGAAGTCACCACCGTCCATACTGTAAAGCCCTGAAATAAATCAACATAAACTAACCACATCAACTAATATTTACTAAATAATGACAAAGATCCATCCATCTTTACACGTTTAATGAAATAAGCTTATACAAAAGTTTCACATGCAAATATACATTCGATGACGAGAAAACACCTGAATCTATAGCATGTGAAGCATCTAGTCTCAAATAATTAAA